CGACGCGATAGCCGCTCCGTTCGATGCTCGCCAGTCACTTTACACTGGCAATCAACTCATCTCTGCGTAACCGATCGCTTCACGAAGAATAATCCAAACCTAATCCAATACTATATGCTACAAATAGATCGTGGAGCGGCGAGCGAGCTATCGCGTCGGTTGCGTCTGTGTACGTAGTCGTATATAGTATTAGTATATTTTTGTTAATATCTTGAATGTATCTTGAATCTATGATTTTGCGGCAATACAGAACACCACCGTTGTAATCTTTCAGGCATAAGCTTCCGATTAAGGTATCGTACGCCCTCCTACGCATTGTACCAACAATTACAGTCGTGGTCACGTTTGCTTCCACGACCTTACTTGCCTTTCATTTTCTCACTTTTCTCCTGTTGTTTTTACAGTATAAGTTATCACTCCTGTTGAGAATGATTGTACCATGCACTCACTCATCGAGAGTTTTGAATTTTTGCGCCATCGATCACTGCGATCGACGATCGATGAATGACACGTGACTCAGCGGAATATGGTCGGTCGGTCCTAGAGAGAAGATGGAATCGTTTTGTTTTATTAGGTGTATAAGGAAACTATTCAAACAATTTAAAATTGAAACAGCTCCTTTAATGATATATAAATATAATAAGCTGTATACGTGACAGTCTGTATAATGATCTCTGATTGACCTTAAATCTGTTGCGTTTATTAATCAAAAATTAGCATTACTACCTCTAATCAAATATTAAATGTAGTCGTACGGATGCGAATAAATTCTGAAAATATCTGTCATAAAATTTTCTATAAAAAAAATTAATACTAGTAAAAATAGCCATAGCGATTTCATCACTTCTCACCCATAAAAACATTATAATCTTTCTGGAGATCGTAAGAATCGATGTTTTAATTTCTAGTATAGGTGACAGTCAATGATAGATAAATTTATGTCGAAATATATTCGTGCTCTGTAATAAGAAATTTATATTTTCTAGTTATTTAGATATGAAATGAATTAAAATACTAACATATTTAGCGAAATGAACAAAAGATAATCCGAACATTATCTGTTAAAAATTGTAACTTTTATTTATTTATTTTATTTATTGCAATAAAGTTTCTTATGAAATATTAATTTAATTTACTGCCATTTAATAATTACTTCGAAAATATAATTGCTATTAATTTAAAAATTTTGTCATAATAAATAACACAGATGGTTGTAAAATTATAAGATCATTTTTAACCGAATTATTTCCTTTTCTAACAAGAATTGTTTTACGCCGCATATGAAATCTAGATAAATTTGATTTTTGTTTTATTTTTATGACAAGTCTGCTTAAGAATTAATATAAGGAATTCTTTGTAATCTCCATGATTCAACTATTAAGTAAAACAGAGAAATTTGACAAGCCTAGTCCGTGCAATACATCTCCCGCATGCAGTTAATTAAATTTCTGGCTCGGTTTAAGATGTCTAAAATTATGTCTGGTCCATTTACTATATTTCACTGTCAATTGCAAAACATTGAAAATCCCTGTATCGTGGATGATATGACTAACACAAGTAAATTAATGTAGTCTGTTTTGTGTACAGATATTCACATAACTTGATTGTATATTATATGATGCAATATCAATATACTAATTTTATGTTACACAATTAAAATTTGATGACATATTGTAATGCGTCATTGTATACGTGATATAATACAATTTAGTTCGTGTCACAAATCAATTTTTAAAGTTAATGGACATCATTTTGGCTATTTACTGACGTAAATAAAGCAATTTTACAATCGTCTACACCCGATTTAGAACTCGCTCAATGTAACTAAGAGGAAAGTTTTTGATAGATTGTGTACAAGGATTGAATTTGATGAAATTTACATGCAATATATTGTTTAAACTTTTTTGACAGATACAATATCGAAAATGATGCATTTGTATTGAATTTCATTTGATTGAATAAAAAGCAAATTATGTGAATAAGCTGGAATAAGTAATTATATAATTGGAAATAATACAAAAAGTAGTGATTATTTGGATCAAATTTTCAGTTCTCGCTTCAAACTTCAAGATCAATAAAATATATATCACAGTAAGTTTTAACAGGGATTGTAAATGGTACAGAGAATCGAAAGATTTAGAATGAAAATTTTTATTGACATGTTTGTGTTACTAATCAGTAGTGAATTAATATTCGACAAATTAATAAAAAACGACTGATCTTAAGAAAATATAAATTCAAACTATCATTTTTCTTTACAGTTTTAGTCCGTAAATTAACGTAATTAACTTGCAACTTAACTTACAATTAAATGTGTTTAATGCTCTTTGTTAATTATAGAGTCTAAGTCACTACTTGTTTTCTTACGCTTTAATTGCGCCTTGTCTACTGTTGATCATAATTTAATTATTGCTAGGAATTATTGAAAATATGCTTGCATGTGGCATTTCATCGTACACATTTATTCTATGTATTTTACTTGGGTATTTTCTACTTAGTATGCGTTACTTAAATGAAATTCTTTTTGTAAGATAAATTATGCAGATTGTGCACAGAATAAGAATAACCATGAAAAAGCAGTCAGAATGATAAACTTAAGTGTTTCTAATTTAAATTTTGAAATATATTTTCTCGATATCAGTATTACAACTTTTTACACTAATTTTCAGGATTTTGGCATTTTGAGCGTATGCCAATTGAATGGCGCCAAGGCGAATTCTTACGTATACATAAATACTACTTGACCTCTTGCATAACTAGGCACATAACAAATGTCTCTGTCAGGCAATTTGATAGCATTTTCTTGGCGCATTTTAAATGGACCTTGATGATGAGTTCATGCAAAATTGAAAATCGTTAACGATCTATTTGAATCGATAAAATATAATAAAAGTATCCAGTTAAAGAATCAATGACCTCAGTTTCACTTTAAATTGCGAAATAGATTTATTCGGTTATTAATTAGATGTCATTCTTTAAAGTTTTAAGTTGTTTAAATTGCATTGTATTAAAAAGTGAACGCAGTAAATAAGTAAGCCTACGATAAATAGAGAAATAAATAATTCATGAATTCATCAGAATTTTTTAGACAATAGTACGAAAGAGAAAGGAAAACCTGCGAGAGATATAATTCAAGATTAAGTACGTATGTGTACAGTAGCTACTAAAAGTATTCCTGCATACCCTTATTTTTCAGCGAAGCATTTTTTAGCCGATCATATATTTCATTTTCATAATCTGAAATTTTTGTAGTCATATGAAAGTACTACTAAATGATATGAAATTTAATACACTTAAATCTATTTAATTAGTATATAAACGCTATAATACAAATAATGGAATTATCTTCTGTAACAACTCTATGTATTGTATATGTTACGCTATTTGCAAAATTTAGCGATTCCATCGTTAGGATGCGTTTAAGTATTTCATAGGTCTACGAGTAGGTTATCCTTCCTCTTTTCATAATCTGCTTGCTTGTTAATCATGTATGAGTTATAACTATACATTCGCAATATGTTCCGTTTACACTGTTGTGTACATAATGTACAAGTTATAAAGATAATCCTGCAGCTGGTCACCAAACAGTTACTATTATCTTTTTGAATTAAGCGGTATTATTTCAAATATCTTCGATTATTACATAATATACAGGGTGATTGGTAACTGGTGGAACAAGCGGAAAAGGGGTGATTTTGCGCGAAAAATGAAGCCGAAAATATGGAATAAAAATTGTTTTTTTAATTTTTTCTTTTTTTTTTCTTTTTTCCATCGAGACAACGATCTACAATGAGATCCGTTGTAGCGTACCGTACGCGTACCGAGCGAAAATTCAAAGTCGATTTTCTCGAAAACAAAGCCTCAAACGAAAAATTTTTATTCTATATTTTCGACTTCTTTTTTCGCGTAGAATCATGCCCTTTCCGCTTGTACCGCTAGTTACCAACCACCCTGTATATGTATCAGATTCCAATCAGTATCTAGTCTGTCAGTAATTAATGTACCTAAAGAATTAATAGTACATTCAGAATGTAATAAATTCAGTTATTCGTATACATATGTCAATCCTATGTTTATTATTTTTTATTTCCTACGTTTTATCGAACAAAAAACTGCTGCATTGTTATTTCGTATTTTTCTTATAATTTTGTATTCATGCGTGTAAACATTGTTCAGCATTATTCTGTAACCTGATGTTAACATTAATCTATTATTACTAGTGTTAATATTATAATACTAATATATTGCTAATATATTTATAATTATATTAATAGTATTGCTTCAATTATAATCTTTTATACTATGTAATTAAATACTAATAATATCGAAATTATAATTATAACACTGAAATTAAGCATTATTTAATAAAATATTAGAAAAATGATTTTTTACATGTTATATCATCTTTTATCATGTGATGTTGCGTGCAAATAACTATATGTTATGCGAGAACATGTGCGAAAACATGTGTCAATCCGTAAATGTTCTCCACGGAAAATGCGCCATATACATCTTGTTACATGCGTATCTATTGCACGTTGCCTGGTGGCATCGACTGTCTGCGGGCAATACATGTAAACTATCTACAGACAAATGTCTGTCAGTATGGACTACTATTTAATTTATTTGAATAAGTTAGTTTAAGGTCATTCTTCGGATTATATCATTATTTAGCCACAAACTGAAATAATTTTTTATTTCATTTAATATTCTGTACACGAATAAATGTTTGCTCGAAAAATATCTCAAACAATTTCTAATGCTGCCGTATCAATCGTCATTTATGTCTTTATAGTGTTTCACGTGCGCAAGATCCGACATGTATCATTCGAAATAATTCAAATTAAGGTAAGTTTGAGAATGGTGTTACGTTACGAAATAATTTAACAAAATATTGTTTATATTTCAAATATATGTTTCCTATGTTATCCTTAAAGTAATGTAGTAAAATAATTGAAATGAATCACTGTTTCAAACTATTGTTCTCTATCTGTATTTGTAATAAAATTTATTCAAGTCTGTTGTATGATAAAGCAAATGGTAATTATTTACTTAGAATAGGGGACATTTTGCCAATTTTGATGAGCTTAAAGTGTGCTATCAAGGTCAACGTATCGAATAATATTTCTCTATACTCATAGCTTTCGAGATATATGTAAAAGTACTTTTCTTACTATATATCGTATTCCAATATTTGGAACAGATATGAATTATCTTGAGTTTGCGTCAGATACAAAATAGGTTTGATTTACGTTATCAATCTGACCATCAAACCTTACATAAATCACCTCTAATTTGTGTAAAACTAGCTAACGGTAAATCATAGGATGAATTTTACAACGCAAACACTCGGTCACATACTCAGAATATTGCAAAAGTGTGTAACAAGATACAATAGCAAATATTTCTCGTTATGAAATTTGCATTTGTCGTTATGCTGGATACATAAGAAAGTTGATATATCGTGCCATATAATGGCATTTTACGATATGATGCCAGAAATATTTCCAACTTCTGACTCGAACCAAACGCAATAATGTACAGGATACGGCTGAGTAATATGTACAAGCGAGAAGAAGGTGCTTGCTTAAAAATTAAAAAGAAGATTGAAAAAATAAGAAGAAAATATAGAATACAATTTTTTCGTCCGCGGCTTAGTTTTCCGGAAAGTCGACTTTCGTAATTTGTTTTCTATACGTGAATTTGGCTAGTTACCGACTAGGTACGAGTGAATAGTCAGAGGCAGATTATTCTACGTGCGAAAATAACTGAAAAATGTGGAATAAGGTTATGATAAATCTTCAAATTTATTTTTCTCCAAAACAAAACGACTTATGAAAAAATGTTATTTTACATTTTCGACTTATGTTCAAGAATACCTGATAAATTTTCAAATTCGATTTTCTCGAAAACTAATAAGTAATTTACATCTTCTTCTTTTTTTCTCATAAGGAATCACTTTGTGCCTGTTCGTTCATTTTGTTCGGCCGCATTTCATATAAGAAAGTTTAAAGTGAAATTACTTTTTTCTTTATTACCGAACCCAAATCTAATCTAAACCTACATTGCTTTGTATTAAATAACGTTACAAAGTATTAAAGTAAAAAAAGTATTAAAAATATGTTCGTGCGTAACCCAAGAATTAAGATCGAGCGACGGTTACATGCATAGAGAAAAATTACTCAATACATATACTATTGTTGACAATATATTCTAAACTCAGTAATATTGATGAGGTGTTCAGTATTCTAAATAATTATCCAAGTTTCACCTTTTTAACGTGGTTGGTAACACTGTATGGTATTAAAATATCAAATACAGACTTTGTCAATTACAAATAAACGGAACGACACGCGATAGTGTAATACAGGTGAAAAATATCAGAAAAGTTTCGAAGAAAGTTATCTCGTGGATTGGAGGCGCGTAATACGGCACACTTCCATCACGTTGCTAATGAGCATTTATGTGGATTCAGAGTCTCGTGGGATTCGGGAGATCCTTGCGCTGCCGTGTAATATAAGGATGAATAAATAACTGTCGAGTGCAGTTGGGTTTTCGAAGCGAAACGCGTGGGCATGCCTCTCCGCCTTCGTGACAACGCTCACGCGTGCATGCCTCACTACGAGCGAAAGTCTTGTGTAAGAGAATTCACGGTGAAGTCGCGGTTACGACTTCCATGACAATTTCTTCACGCGTGACCACAGCCTTTTGACATTTTCACATCCGATTCGTTGCATGCATGAGCCTTACCTCTTAGACTTTCGTTAAAGTTACGTAAAAAAGTTAACAAAGTCACGTCTATGAATTCTTTCCGTGCTTGGAACATCAAGTGTGAGTGATCACTTTAAAATCTGGAGTGCTTGTTCCTCAAAAAGTGTACCTAGAATCATAATTAATGAGACAAAATTGAATTAATAGTAGACCTTTAGCAAATTTTATATTGATTAAATTAAATAATTAAGTAACTATGTGATTCTTGGAACACTACAAAAGATGAAGTACGCAAATATGTAGGATAGCGTAAAAGCATTAGATTATTATTATTATAAATGATAATTATTATACATAAATCATAATCATGTAACGCTGTTATCATTGCATTGTAATCATTATTATAAAATTTAAATTACATTAAGCACTTTTAATGTACTGAAAATGGTAGACAAAATAATACCATTAAATTTTTTGCTCATCTATTAGTAAGAATTATATATTAGTATTATAAGTAATACTATTTTTTGTTTATCTTACATAGACATTTACTTGCTCTGACTAACTTGAGTGCATATTTCACACTCTTTCTCTTTTCCCTCCTTTCTATTTCATTTTCTTGTTTTCTCCCTACTTTGACGCACAGCTCTCAAGTACAGTATTTGATAAAAGCAATTCTTACAAAAAAGAGGAGATATGTTAATAATTTTTTAAAGAACTTGTGACACAATTAATTTCCACTTCGTGGAACACGAAGAGAAAAACCCGAAAGATTGTTTCTATTGTTAAAATAAAAGCACCATTATAGTTAAATTATAATTAAAGTTACGCTATTTTTATTTCTTGAACAATAGTTTAACATGAATGTAAATTATTTACGTACATGAGGATGAAAGATTTTATTTTGTTACGTAATCGAGTAATTTTGAAACGTTTTTAGAACAAACATCGTTAATGGCTGCAAACTTCTGTTCGATTAAAAGAACAGTGCGATACTAGCAGAGTAGGTCAAATGACAAAAATATCTTTACAGTTGTTTTTATTGAAACGCTTTATTAACATACCTCAAGTATCTTGTTTGCTAAAACGTTCTACCGACTACATTACATAATGCGATTTACTATATTCTAATTGTCATTTATTTTATAAATTTATTTTATAAATATTGTCTCAACGATAAAACGATCTTATTCTGCGATATGCTAAGTAATAAATCTATTTAGCAATTAATGAGACGTTTTCCTTGAAAGTGGTGTAAGTCCATGACCCTTTGTTTCGAGATATTGAAGCGTTTGCGTTGCCATTGATTGAAAAATCCTGATAAGATTTATTTGGTTTGTTCGCGTCTCTATATGTTTAAATAGATATAAATTCATTATACAGTTATATAGTTATTAACTAGAGTATTAAATAGTTACTATTGTATAGTTATTAATTCATTATATAGTTATTAACTAGAGCAATATCTTTCTTCAGGGTCAGGAATGTACTTGCGCCATTTTCAAGATTATAAATTGTACAATTTGTTTTTCATTATTGGTGCCTTGACTGTTTGGACAGATTACAGGAAATGGACTTTCACCACTTTCAAAATAAATGATCCATTTAATCGGTACATTTATAACGTAAATAACATTTAAGTAGAATAACATCCTACGCGTGAAAGAGAAATGACAAAATTAATATTAATTTTTGATAAAATACAAGTTACTGTTAACGTGCTGATGATTAAAACAACGACTCACAAAAAAATACAACTTACTAAATATAGTTTTATTTAGAATTATTTGAGAATATTTAAATAATTGGTTATTGGATATCTATAATAAATTTGAAATATTTGTGTTAAGTGTTATAACCAGAAAACATTACTGTTACTTTATAACAGTTAATACTTTTAATTAAGAAAATTTTGATTACGAATAACCATTATCAATGACGGAACTCTAATTCTTATCAGTAACCAATTTAAATGATCGAAATGTTTTTGATTATCAGTAACCTTTATCGACGACCCGAATTTTATTTTGATTGCCGATAACCATTATCGACGACAAAAATATTTTCTGCCTACATTCGACTATTGTCCCTTCTTATTAACGTTACTGGCGGTTAATACATATTCACTGACAATATAAAGAATAAATTACAAAACTTATAAATATCTTATTAATCAACAAGAAGAAAGAGCATGAAAATACATGAAACAAAGTGTAGGATAAAAAATATTATAATACGATATTTTTATTAACATTTCTATTAATATACTAATTATCAGTAATGTTAATAACAATAGACACTGATCGAAAGTGGCCAGAAAAATCTTTTCGCGTCGATATCAGTTAACGGTAACCAGAATAAGATTCGGCCCATCGGTAGTGGTTATTGGTACCCAAAAAAAAATTGGTAACGGGTACCAGTAGTCAAAAAAATTTGAATCTTTGATAACGGTTATTCGTGTTGAGAATAATAAAAAATTAACATTTTTTAATTATTTCATTTTTTCAGAAATTTCTCTGATACTTATTAATAATCGGCTTCCATTTAAGTAAAAATGAAGTTTTAGTCATTGACTTCCTTCAAAAAAATGTTTAAAACAACTGTTATTTTGAATTTCTGGTTATAACACGAACCTCGGGGAATGCCATTATGCTATTTTATGCCACGATCAAGAACAATCGTTACATTCAAGAAATAGAATTTTAGAGCTTCGCTCATCTATGTGCCAGCACTCAGATACTGTCATAAAACGCGGAGTTTCCATACGACGACCAACCTAACGGCTCCCGCGTGAGATCGCGCATTCTCTGGAATATTTCACAGGGGTTGTCCACACGATCACTTCGGCGTACATCCTATTCTACTTCCAAGAACACAATACGCTGAAAGCGTAACGAAAGTGAGGACACGAAATCTTCTCTTTCAGGTATTTAACCTTTTCATTCCTAATGCCGACTATAATCGACATCCATACGAGGATCTACGAATACAAATATCGACTATAGTTAGCATCCACATAATAAGCCTATTAGCGCTGTCCAAAGTCGACGCTCAGTAATTGGTATCAATTGCGTGGCGGCTATAATAACCGTGTTGATACTGCGTTTGATAATCAATGAAACGGTTGATACGCACTTATTTTAAGCAACGATGAACTAGTTTTCATAAAAATTACTTAAATATCGCTGTTTAAACTAGAGACGATAACCTTTTTACGTGTTTAGAAGAAACTTTCTTATCTGATCTGTATCGTACAAACTAGATAGTCCGCAGATCAAAAAATTTTCCCGAATGTTTTATTATAAAGGAGGAAGAATGACCATTTTTCGACCTCCTTGTGAATGAAAAATTCCTGCACGATTAACCCTTTCGCTACGGCGGTTCGGTCTGCCATTGAACTGTACCACGCGCCGGAAGTGTATACATTACACGTGGACAGTTTATCTCGAAAGAATAGGAACTTTTCTTTAAAACAATATACTCATCATTTCTACATAAAAGATATAAACATATTTGATGGATATAAAGGATCTGAGTAACGATTGAAAATAGTGAAAGGATAATTCTCGATGATGATATACAGGGTGGTTGGTAACTGGTGGTACAAGCGGAAAGAGAGTGATTCTACGCGAAAAAAGAAGTCGAAAATATAAAATAAAAATTTTTCGTTTGAGGCTTTGTTTTCGACTTTGAATTTTCGCTCGGTACGCGTGCACTTTATCACGTCTCGTTATAGCGGATCTCACTGTAGATCGTTGTCTCGCTGGAAAAATTAAAAAAAAAAAAAAAAAGAAATTAAAAAATAATTTTTATTCTATTTTTTGGACTTCTTTTTTCGCGTAGAATCACCTCCTTTCCGCTTGTACCGCCAGTTACCAATCACCCTGCATATTGATTAATAATTTAATATTTAAATTTTGAAACATGGAAACACGCACAACCCAACATCACATTCTTGATATTGATAACGAGATTCTCGATCGTTTTTCGCACACACCTTCGTAATCTATTTTTTCCTTCTTTAGCTTCGTAAAGTGAAGGAAAATGTCTTCCGTTGAATCTTGATGAGTGATTATTTTCAGGTGTAATAGAATGACGACTTCTTTCTTTCTGATATTTCTTTAAAATTTGATTTATTAATTTCAGTTGAAATTTTACAATTGATATTGTTTTGTTGGTTTTCAATTTGTATAGGCAATATCAATGCCATAAGCACATATCAATAATATGGAACAAGTATTTTTTGTACCATTCTGTTGTTTCGCGGGTAGAATTTATAGTGCTGATAACCATGTCGGTCCTGTTTACAGCACCCATCAATTTATTATAGTCGTGTACACAAGATAGTTTCTGTAAAATTTCTTGTGTACTACAGTGTTTTGGTACATCCACAAATTTCTCTGTATGTATTGTTGAAATCATGAAAACCTCTTTTTTATTGTGCATTTTATGGCTAACATATTTGCACACTTACGAAAGCGCGCTGCTCCTTTCTGTAATTTTTCGTTCACTTTTGGCATTCCTTTTCCCCACTTTTTTACGGTGCCACACGCATTTGTAGGATTTTTATGTAATATGCCAAATAATGCGGGGTTCGTGTACCAATTGTCGACGTAAAGGGTGTGGCCTCTACCTAAATGTGGTTCTAGGAGAGACATTATACTTCCTGATTTACCACAGTCTTTATGTTCGGGCTCTATAGTAGAATGCCCCCGTATAAATAATAAAGTCTTAAATGTAATCCGCACTTGCAGTCACAAAGAACAAACAATTTTATCGCATTGTATGTGGATGCCGAGTATATCCGGCGTTAGGAGCGTCTCTCAAGGGATCACAGATGTTACTAGGATTTATCCGAAATGCGATGAGGAAGTTGAAAAGAACGAGTGCAAGGATGAAAAATCGGACAGTGGCAAAGTTTACGCATGCGTTACGCTTAATTTTCATCTTTTCCAAATTCCGATCCAGCTACAGAATAATCATTCATTGCAGACATAATAATCTGAAGCACCTCTGGATCGTTGTTACGTAAAAATAATAGCCAACGACGATCTTGCGATACTTTGCATATGGTCGATTCCAAATTTCAGCTGATTTACCAGGAGAATTTCTAAGGAATTATTTCGTGGGTGAATGAGCATGCGAAGAAGATGATTAAGCGAGATTAATTTTTGTTGAAAAATTATGTTTGCTTTTTCCGCCAGTGACCGGCGGTCGCACCCTCATAAGGCCCAGCTGTGAGCCTTCTCGCATACTTTTCACGTGCAATTCGTTTTGTACTCGCCATGCGTTGTATTACATATATTATGCTTTAGTTGAAAAATTTTTCTTTACACTTTTTAGTACGATTATAAGCTATAATTCGATAAGTAACAAACACACTGCTGATTTTCACGTATTTATAGGAAATTTGAACGTGGAAAATTGCATAGAACGCTCATAAGATAAAATAAAATATATAAATTATCCAAAGTAAAGCGCTTTTTATAACATTTGGTAGGCAAAGCATGTTTTCTACCTTTTTACCTATATTCCGGAAAGTATGAATTTGCATAAAAATCTGCAGTCTAGCAATGTGTTAAATTACTGCGCACTCCTTTCAAATATTTCATTGCATACCTATTAGTCTGTAGTTGAAGAAGAACCTCCTGGTTGGACCAAGTCGTTCAGGGCTATTTCTGCCTTCTGTCAACAGTATATATATACAGCTGGTCGACAACGAGTGGGATGGAGTAATGAAAGAGCAGCTAAAAAGGGAAAGAGAGACTGGAATCTCGAGGTAGCTTGTTGTTCGAGAGCGAGGAGTACGACTCTTGTTCGATGATTTAAGAATCAACTTGGCCCCTCCTCGACCCCAATCTCCACGGAATCCCCGGTTTCTGACCTTACCTCCAACTTCAGAAAAGAAGAGGAAATTCAATCCGTGCAAGATCTTTCTCAAGTTCTTTCGATACTATGCAATGTTCGTCTCAGCTTCATATTGACATTTCGAGACTGCATTTAATGCTAAACCTTTGTCATTTGCTGGTTACGTTCGTCTTAACTAGTAAATTATTTACAATTGATATACACGCTGTGTTTAACAATATTCCAAGGATTATCGTTTATTATTTCTCCATAAATTGTGGTCGCATAACGTATAAGTAAAAGTAAGACAAAATTATTAATGTTATAAAATTTTAGGTCAACGATTAATGTTGTTGGTTTAAAACACTTAATGATTAGGTAGAAAGAAGGAAATTTCCATAAAACTACCACATATACTTTTGATAAAATTTTATAATTATTCCATGATAATGACATGTTTGTGTACAATACCACTTTGGGAAAACCAGCAAAGAAACATGTGCCTTGGTTATAATAAAAAAAGGTAACATTTATTTAAAAAAACGTAATTCAATAAAATAATATAAAACAATGTTGTGCGTCTAATATTTCCTTATAAAATGAAAGAAACTTTTCACACACTTTTCAGATAAATAAAATCAAAGTTACCAATAATTTATTCGCTCTGTCTAAATTTTTATATATTATTATATATATTTATAATATAAATTAAAAATTTTGCCAAAAGCAAATATACGCTTTTAGTAATTCTAAAAGAAACAAATCCGAAGTCTGTCAGTTTGACAGACGTGGTAGTTTTAACATTAGAAGGAAATATTTGTCTTATTCTCAGCTGTAAATTATGCCACAATTTACGTGGATTTTCTATACTATTTAAGTATTATGCATATATACCTGTAATTTAATGTTGAATATTAATTAAATCTCATGTTTAGGTGTATATCGTTATAAATAACTTATAAGAGTGAAATACTCGCAACTTTATGACAGGGAAAGTTCCGAGTCAGATGTTGCAACAGTTTTCACAAAATTGACTATCAGCTTCGTATATATCTCATCTGTCTGTAAACAGTTCTCCTATATTATTGGGTTGGCAACTAAGTGATTGCGGATTTTGTCAATAGGTGGTATCGACAAAATCCGCAATCACTTAGTTATCAACCCAATATTACTGTTAAAAAGAAGTCGATTTTATAAATTATAAATATTATAAAATGTTATATAAAATGTTGTATAAAAATGTTACATGTGTAGCTGATATCTTTCTGTAAAAACTGATTTTGCTGAATAATTGTTTGTTAACAGATTATTCCACATTAGGGTGGTCTTTATTCTCCAATCACCAATATTTCCTGGTCTTATTTCCATAAATTGTAATAGCTGGTGAGAAAAGGATTTAAAGTGATTGGTCAATTGGTTTCGAACATAATCGTGTTCTGCTATTTTCGAAATATGAAGAAACAAGAGCACAATGTTTCAGATTAATACTATAATAGTAATATCTACGTATTACTTCCAAAAGTATGTACAAATCTTTGACTTTTATTTAATATTAAAGGCTTGGTACTATCACACAAGTTAGATTCCACAGATGCAATATCCAGTCCAGAGTTGAGCAAAAAGTAATCTAATTGATGATTACAGCTATCGTGAAATCACGTTCGTGATCAATGATTACGATTACCAAGTAATCAGGTAATCTTGATTATCATTAAATGTGATCAATGAGCATAATTAATTAATGGAAACATATATTAATTAACACAATAGTCATTAATTACGAAATGATTACGTCTATGATCATGACTAACTCAGAAATTTTACATTATGGTAATTACAATGATACTGTGCAGTTTTTAGAAAATCTGCATCTAGTGAATAATTCAGCGAAAGAATACATAATTTACATAGTAAACAAGTATTGAATTACGACCCTGGTGCAGGAATAGGAGCACAGTTCGCTTTTAAATATGCCTCTCGTTTCAATACCATTGTTGTATAAGAATAATCTTCCCACGGATGCTGCCGATGGCAACGACGTCTTATATAAAAAAAAATTTCTTATCGATGAATACCGATCCAGAAGGTTTAAATCTTGTCGTTCTTCACATAAGAAATATTTGCAAGAAACTTCCAACTTTGCCTTAAATGCAAGTATAGCAAAAAAAAAAATCGAAGAACTTATCGGGCAAAGCGTCTTTGTTGTTTTGGAGATTAAGTTTAATGAGTTTAAGTCACGAATATGAGAAACTATTTATTCGCTTCTGCAAACGCCTAGCAATAAATCCATTCAAGATGTATTATCGCGTTAAGTTTTGCACGTTGAGGAAAAAAAGACACGAAAAAGTACGTATTATCTGTAATATATCTGTCATAGTCATAGTCATAGCACAAGGTCTCGTACACTTTGAATGTTTCTCTACATATCCGAGATGTTGATTGTTTAATTCTGTTTGATTTTTTATGTTTAAAGCTCTGTAAAATTCACTACTCTTTCCTCTTGCTGTAGCAATTTATTGTAACGTGTCGTACAAACGTGACCCGATATTCCGAATTATTTCTGCAGTATTTGGCCGTACCGTCATTTTCCACAAATAATTACGTTTCTCTATAATTCTACCATGTACAGCTGCTAATTGTGTCGATTGTCGTAAACTTCCGTTGCCATCGATTATAACACATAGATTCGATGTATGTCAACAGCAACGTAAGTGCAATAAGACGATATCATCCGATGACTCGACATTGCTGTGTGATACACAACTGTCGCTAGCAAGATCCGCCCCATTAAATGTCCGTCTGCAATCATTCATACGCTTCTTTTTTATTCCAAAGATTTGAAAGGTTTTAGCAAAATTGCTTCCACTATCCGTGGTGGCAGCAATAATTTTTTCTTCAACAATATTATATTCTCTCTCTCTCTCTCTCTCTCTCTCTCTCTATATATATATATATATATATATATATATGTAATAACATAAATCCTTAGGGCAAATCAGACGATCGATTCTGGAAAATTGAGTTTATTTTGGGAACAATTAAATTAAATACAATAACAGTTAAATACGATAACTCAAACGAAAAATTTTTATTCTATATTTTCGACTTCCTTTTTCGCGTAGAATCACCCACTTTCCGCTTGTACCACCAGTTATCAACCACCCTGTATATATAACTATACATAAACAGACACACTAATACACTGTATACATAAACAAACTGCTCCAAGAAATATGTAAACTCTCTAAGAATTCAAATGCGAATACGTTTGTACGACCGTCTCTCGACGCACGACTTCTTTTGTTTCATGGACATAGCGGCTTTCTTTGTTTTACGGAGAGCCATTTTGAGAGACACACATTTCCCAAACGTACGGACAGAGATCAACATCGGAGATAGACAAGATCACAGAAGAAAGAGTAATTATTTAAAATATTGAAGATTGACGGAGAAAGATCGGTAGCTCAGGACGTTGAAAATCGATTCTCGATTTTCAGGTAGGCATTGCACAGAATTTGCTATTTATTGTTTACTGTTATTAATTTATTGTTGTTTATTTAATTATTACTGTTATTAATTGTTGTTTACTCCTGTATTTCATTTAAGTATTTTCACAATAAACTCGATTTTCAGAATCGATCTCTGAGTTATCCTAGAATTGGACCTTATAAATATATGTCGGGTTTACATTAGAATTAGGGTTAGGGGCGTGAAACAAAATTCCAAAGGCTCCGGTGTTCTTTCATCTCCGACATATATATATATATTTTCTTTTCCTCTTTTTAGATTATGACCTATCCAATGTGCGGTCATGCCAAAGAAATTTCTCTTTTTACTTGACCATATATCAACGTCTGCGCATGAAAATTACACGTTTCGTATATCATTTTCTATCTTTTTTTTTTCATTACTTATGTGTCCAATTTCAAGTGGTCAACTAAGAGACTTAAAATATGCAATGTACGTGATATGTTTAAATTATTGGGTATGGTGAAAAAGAAGAGATCTTCTAAGCATTCTAAAAGAATCATTGAATGGACAAGGTCTAATATTTTACAATGTTACTTTCAAATTGTTCTTGCGTCACATTATTAGAAAGCTTCCTTTGAGATTACTTCGATACTGAAGCTCTTGTTTCTGAGCGGTCTCGTTCTATAGAAGTTTTATGCCTTTTGTATTATTACTATATTTCCTTCCCATGTTTCCGTTTAAAATGCGCAAGAAAATTAGACGATGAATTCCCAAAATCATTTATTGAAACATTCTTCGGTTTACAAATTACACATAAATCAATGATTTTACCACAATTCGTTTCACTTTTCTCTGACAAATATTAAAAACATTTACCTTCCATGATTGTCGGAAGTCTCATTTCTCATATTCTTGGAAGTTTGATGAAGATATGTTATTTGATTATGAATGTGTCGAATTGACAAATTCGCGACATTATTCTCCATAGCACTCTGCCATTGTTATGTCAGGAATATATCAGGAAACAATAAAATTCAGTAAATCAATGATAGCGCGAGTTACACAAAGAGCGCTAATTAATAAGATGAATTATACTGACTAAATAAATCACACTCTATTCTGTGTACTATTTCAGTGTGAGGTCCTACTTCAACTGGTAAACTGGTATGTAATAGAAGAAAAATCACGACTGTATGTCTTTTTTGTTTTAATTGAAGATATCAACGATAATATTTACATCCGTTTCCTCGCTTAACAATAGGCGATACTAAGAAGCGATAATAAATAAGTATAGCGTTAATGCTAGTGAAAAGCAAATTAATCATTCATTTAGCGATTACAAATTACGGATTAACGATTACAAGATTAATCATGATCACTGACTTATTCAAGGACGATTGATTGATTAATAGTTATTATTACCATGATTACTTTTAATAATTGACTTTGACAATTTCAATCGATTATTATCAATTAGAAAAGTAATTACAAAATAACCAATTGCTAGCTTTAGTGTATAGATGGTGATCGCCACCCTTACAGAATTTTACGTGTGAAGGCGCTTCTGTTATAACAAAGAAAGCTGTTATATAAATACAAGCGTCTGTTTTTTATTCCTATCGTTCGTTTACATTTCGTCCGCTGAGATTTCGAGGTGTAAACATACGAGGTGTACCGCGTAACACGTCTCGTATCTTTTCTCCCATTTGCGGCCATGTAATAAAAAATTGTTTTGAACCGTATTTTAATGGTATTAAACGTACTACGAGTGACGATACAAAAATTCCGAAAATACGTTGTTTTCATAGCGAAACTGACCTCACCTTAGGTAACATAAATTGGTCTATAAGTTATTTTCTACCATGGAACATCCTGTATATCGCAGAATTATATTGAAGGAGAGAATTTGGAAGGAGAGAAAGAGAAAGTTATGATAAAATATATTCGCAGAAGCATAACGAAAGTCAAATTATAGGCTCTAAATTCCCCAATGATGGATAAGATTTGCGCGTACTGTTTTAGGATCTACGAGAGATAAAGCTGGATGTTCGAGCAAATGTCGCGACAATAAGAGAATAAGAGAAGTGAAAGGATCTTTCAGGCAAAGCACATGTTCCCCTTTGAAAACATATACTAACGTCGAAAAATTATTAGCATTTTATCAAAGTTAGTGACAATTACAACGATTTGAGAAACACCGAAGTGAACTACAAAAAAGAAGAGAAAAAGAATTTGTTGACTCGTTAAGCGACCTGTCTAATGTCGTTCAAAACAAGACATAAATTGTAAAATTGAAGAAGAAAACATTTCTTCTTAAATCGAAGACAAAATTCAGTCAATGATTGGGACATATAGAGACTTAATCGAAATTTGTTCCCGATAGTGCATTTGTAAGGAAAGTAAATGTGAAATGAATAAATTAATGCAAACATTTTGCTTAAATGATAGTACTTACTATATTTTTACTTAGTTATATGGTTGGATCGCTTAGATCCAATTGAAACTTTCTGGGAGGAAATAAATAGCTGTACAAGTACTCAAGAAGTAAAAAGAAAACAATAAATAACGCAATAATGTTAAAAAGAATATAGAAAATTATTATTATTATTATTATTATATTATTATTATATTATTATTATATTATTATTATATTATGTTAAGGAAAAACTAATTGATCCTGATTACTGAATAATCGATAGCAAATCGATAGCTAATTGATAGCAAAGAAAATAAAAACAACTCTAAGAATTATGATATTAATTATCGGAACGCCTGTTATTAACATTTTGATTATTATGTGCATAATCAACGATTACCGAAACATTTTGTTTAACAAAGCATAGGTAGATAAAACTGCAATGACAATAAAATCAACAAATTGTGAGATATTTCAGATTTTTATATGGAGTATCTCACTTTTTAATTACAAATGTCTCTTGAATTGTTAATTGTTTTAATATCGTATTCGTTACTTGATACTTTCTGACGTAGAATATTCCGAAGAATACATGTAAAACAATATCTATAGCTCTATTTAAAAAATCAGATGTCATTTGCGCATTTTCCTATATAAAAAAAAAAAACTAATCACGTAAAATTATGTCCTCCTTGAAAGCATTCAACCTTTATCTGAAACTTTTTTCGCTGGAGTCATTACCTACACAGAAATACCACACAGAAATCCACCCTGTATATAGGGGTGTGGTGGAGAGTTAAAACCTATGTAGATAAAGAATCGATTACGTGAAAGCGATGCACGTTAAATCAAGTTGATTGTGGAAATGACAGGTAGCCGTATCGTGAACTAAAATGGTAAAGTTGTCCCAACTAGAATTCGGTCGAGGGTGCGACGAGGTGAACACCGAATGACCCTGGTCCTCCTCTTCAGCAGCTTTCTTTTTTCTTCTCGAACTGTCGCGGTGAAATTCGAAGCCGAAACGTCCTTGCTTGCCTCGCTCCAACCAGTCCCACCTCCTCCGTGTCCTCGATCGATCATGTTATCGGGTTTTATTATCATGTGGTTGAGTCCAGCGAAAATGGGTGACGGTTACTGCGTCTGTGAAAATAGCGAGTATTTGCACATGAGAATGTTATATTTGTTGTAATATGGAGAATTTTCAGTAATTTTTTCTGGCGTGGCGCAGTGACGGCTAATTATTTATAATAAGTTAATACTTATTATAGATAAGTATAATTTATAAGTAAGTGTTATAAATAAGTAAATATTACTTAATATAAATATCTAATTAAATCTAGTGTTGAGGTCTAACGGGTAGTGTATCTTCCGCCTGCGGATCTGGTCCGACGTATCAAGTAATCCAGTAATTAGGGGGTTTCGATGTTTGTTGACTCTTTTGCTATATCTGTTGCTATATTTTGCTATTTCCTCTTTGACTGTGGGTAAAAATATTTATTTCGAAGGATATTTAACGTAGTATTAAAACGAGTTGATGAAATAAAAGGAAAAAGATATAAAGTAGAGGTAAAAGTATAAAATTTAATGTATGAATGAAAAAGTAATTTAGTAGGGTAGATGAAGATTGAAAGTAACACTTTGGCTCTGGGATATGACGGAAGTATACGTGTATATACATAACGCTTTAGATTCGCGATAAGCAATATAGAAATTATTAAATCAAATGATACTTTCTAAAGGTGTATATAACGATTATCAATTATACAACACTGTTACATATACCTATACAGTACATTGTGTATTTAGTATGTTTTTTGTAACGTCACAAAGGAGAAAATAAATTCGGAATATATTTTCTACGAATATTTATCATTCTATTCTGACAGTGATAGATTAGTGGCTCGAGACTGAAACAAAATGTATAACAAGCGAGAATGAAACAATTATATTTGAAAAACTGACTACGAAATATTCAGACAGTTAGATACCTTCGTAACGAATTGTACTTTCATTTGTCACCTTTAACAGATATGTAGCTTTAACTTTTATGGTACTAGAGATAGCTTTCTATTAAAAGATCGAGTACTGCGCTAGTAACAACTAATCTGTCTTTTTTGTTGAGATAAAGCCTACACCATTCTTGCAATATTGTAACATGTTCGCAACTGGAAAGCGTATCCCCAAGGTAATTGACATTATTTTGAGGACTAAGCAGGAGATTAAGTACCTTGGCGTACAATTGGATAACAGAAAATGTTCACTATATCTAGAAAAGGTCTGCGGGAAGGCTGATACCCTAATGGGAGCGATTAGGACATTATTACCAAATGTCAATGGGTCCACCGACTCCGTTAGGAAACTCTATTTTGTTGAGTTTGGGAGTCGGTGGTGCTTTATGCTACACCGGTATGGGCCAAAGCCCTAGCAATAAAGAAAAATAAGAATATTTTGAAGAAGGTGCAAAGGACGACGCTAATTCCAATACCCACCGCCTACAGAGCAGTTTCCCACGCAGCACTGTGTGTACTTACGGGCACAATGCCGATACACTAAAAAGCAGAGCCGCGCGCGGAAAATTACGAGATACGAAGGACGTGACACCAGGACAGTTATGATACCTGCTCGAGAACAGGAGGCACTATGAGTGTGTTAAGAGAAAGGATTACGAGAATAGAGCAACGGATGGAGGGAAGAGTGGCTCTATTACAGAGAGGATAATTGGACCAGGAGGCTGATTGTCGACTCCTGCATTTTTAAGAATAATAAAAGGAACATTGATCATTATACCATGCAGATATTGAGTGGACATGGTATATTCAATGAATATCGGAAAACGATTAGGAAAGAGACCCGCGCAAGATGCTGGGATTGTGATGTCGAAGGTGATGATGCTGAGCATGCGTTGTTCAATTACCCTAGGTGGATCAACGAAAGAACTCTATTGGAAAACTACGTAGGCGAAATACTGACAACCAACAATATTATAGAAGTGTTTGTCAGTAACGAAGAATATTGGTCGAGATTCCAAGGGCTATGTCAGAGAATTGTGATAACTAGACAAGCCCGGGAGGAGAACATCGGGAGGCAAATAAGATTACGAATAGGAAGATGAAAAGATGAAAGGCACAGCCTGAGAGACCAACTCTGAAGTAATGTCGAGAGGTGGTTCCAGGGTTGGTTCTTGTACCGATAGAGGAGAGATGTGGAGCAGGGGTTTTTAGTGAGTAGAGGCGCCATCATCTTGCCAAGCATTACATGCGTAATTGTAGTTTCCCCTCTCAAAAAAAAAAAAAGAAATCTTGAGATCGTCGACTTTAATGCTTCGATAATGTTCTAGACAGTGTATGTATTCCAAGGGGTTGTTACGAATTCCTCCAATTACACCCAATTATTTTCATATTTTCATATTGTCGAACGTGTATTTCTTGTAATCATAACCAGTTATGTAATGCACAATATAGTTTAACGATTAAATCTGCTTTATCGGAAGAAAAAGCTACTGGCTTTCCAAATATCCTACAGAAGAATGTTAAAAAATGGTCATTCTTGGCATGACCTGGATTTGGAAAATTCGTGCAGGACATTTAAGACTCTCTCGAGAAACAAAAATATCCGTATTACTTTCTCGAAAAACAATGGGAAAATGGTTAAAAATAAATCTAAACTCTTGGGATATTGTATCATTTTCGAAATAATTAATGCAAAAATCGGCTAATAAATCAGCATAAAATCATTGCTACATGAGAATAACATTCAATGCGATCACCGTTCTTTGCCTCCATCGTTCGTCTCCGATCCGGAGACGAACACGTGTACCGATTGTAAGTTTAATAACGCAGTGGTATTTGTTTTAAAAATAGAAATGATATAAAATACATACGTACATATATGTATAATTATAGGAATGCATTTAGTTGGCTTAAAAAATCGAAATAAAGAATTATTATTATTGTAGTTTCACGGCAATCAAACCAATTACGAATTCTTTTCTTTTACGAATCACAGGTGCGAACTCTGATGTTTGTCATCTTACAGTCGGAGAAGTGTTTATACTAAGCATCTTACGTTACAGTTAGTACCGAGTCATGGTAGAGATTCTTCTTGTTGTATTGATTATCGAAATATCAAATTGACGTAGAATCAAACAATATTTGACTGGAAACGAAATTATATTCTCGACACTGTAGTAGTTTAAAAATATTTTGTATACGTATTGACGAACAGATGTAGATGTGAAATCGGTGTTTGCGTTGTTGGCTGCTGTTTGCACATAGCAATGCTACGATATTGCGGTTTTACTTGATTCCAACCTTCAATTGATTTACGTGCTGATTTGCCCATTAAACTTACTTTCAATATGCTTCAATATCTGGAGAAGAATATAAAATAGAACGTTTATACTTAGGCGAGTTCAATCACTATTGTATTCACATATTTGGACCTATTTTCAACAACTTTTCCATCGCTTTTCGGGAAAAAATAATAAAAACATTTTTTTATTCTCTGGGAGATTCTCTTAAAGCTCTTGCACGAATTCTTCAACTCCAGGAAATGCTAAAAATGGCTATCTTTTAATATCTTCCTTTGTTTGTCATTATTCTAAACGTGTTTTCGATTATTTTTCTCAGATGAGAGAGTCAGTAATAGAATATTTTTTGTTTGACACTTAATTGAGTTTCGACAGAAAACCTAAGTAATTATCTTTTTTCAATGGGAATGCATTGTCGCCGAGCAACATACTGTTTTCCAATGCTTGATATAAATTATAGTGACGAAATACAATAGATATGCTCTCGTATTGTCCTATTATCCACTATCTATCTATTATATATTTATTTATCTATTTATTTAGTTATATTCTATTATCTCGTATTTATTTACAACAGACATTGGTACAATAGTGTTGCTCTGTTTATAAATAAAGTGTGAACTCTTATATTTGACAGGTGCTTTGATAACCGCATGTTATCCACCTGTGGTTCCACAACACTGGGGAAGTTCCGCTCCTCTCGAAAACCATTTTCCATTATTGTGCACTTATTTTCCTCTGGCACCTGAAAAATAAACTAACTTGTTATAGACAATCAATCTGTTCATTTTCAGACACTGCAGACGAATCGACTCGGTGGAAGAAGAGAATGATGGAAATTCATTCATAAATTTGGATCTTTCTTCTTCATCCAATATTATACTACAGTGACCTAATGAAAGAGTGAGGAGAATAGGGTCGACATCAAAGAAAATGAATTCGAAGTAAATATTTGGAAAAAATATTGGCTTTCAGTTAAGGTATTTATAGTGTGACAATATCCATCAAAAGTAAAACAAAATCATATTCTTCATGAACGTCTAAAATTCGCCATTCAGGATGAAGTCTCCTGGCTGTCCGTACTTTCTACGCACGCATACTAACAAACAATTCAGAAATCAACATAACGGCAACTCCACATTGTAATATACATACGGCATGTGGGACGTCGAAATTACCGATATTCGCATTATTTCATTCAAAAATGAAGCGAGAGCTAATTTTTCTTACAAAAACACGCTTCTAGTTATTTTACACAACATATTATTTTTTTAACAATTTTGTACAATAAGAACGATTTTTCTGTAATTAATAAAAGTGCCATTTTTGCGCTGTATTACTATAGCGATTACGTGTTTAATCTTTCACTTTTGAAGATGAATATTTCTATTTCGGTAAGGCTATGCTCTCTAAAAATTGAATTGTGTATAGATAATATATTGAATGACGTATCACGAAAATTTCAAAGAAATTATAAGGAAATCAATCTACGCTACAAATACCTTAAAGGCAATACCATTTGAAATTACTCTGTAGGTACGGCAACATATACAGATACACTTAAATGGAATCAGAACCAAAAAATATATCACATATGACAACGAATAGATTTTTTTCGCCGTCACCTTCATCAATGGAGCGTTAGCATGCACAAAATGATTCATCAACATCCAGGAGTACCGATACTACTAGTCAGTCGTTACAGTATACTTTATTTGATAAAACAATTTATATTAATTTATGTAATATTTAACAAAAATAAAATATGCTTGAAAAACAGTTCAAATGAAAACCTAGCTATCTAATTACCTAATAAACATGTTTATACTGCCCGATAGAATAATTAGTAATAATTAATAAAAACAAAGTTTATCGCATACATGTATCTCTTTGTTGAATGTGGACTTTCGTTCTGTTCAACAATAAATAAAAAATATTTTCTGACACTCTCAATGTGACAAAATATTCTTTAAGATCTTCAATTTTTAATTCTTTCAAAAGACTAGTCGAAGCTTCTAACGAATCTCCTCTACTCATTCATCTTGTAGTCCACACACGCTTTGTTTCGTTCCTTTCTTCATCAATTTCTTCTGCAATACCTATTAGTAACATTTGAGTAGTGTTTCTGATAACACTGTGTATTATCGCTCATCGTCTGTCCATTTCTCGTGATTTCGAAAACTAAACTCTACCGACCGGACACTTCCTATGTATTTGCCAAGCCGTTTAGTAGCAACTGGTTACTCGATAATTACTTACTTCAAATTACTCGATGTGTTTGGACGGACCACTTGCCACTTGCTACTGAACTCGTCGTGTCTGAACCAGCCTTCAAGGCACAAGTGACAAATAGGTAACTTACTATTCAACGTTCAGACACGTCCAGTAGTGTAGTATTAATAAGGCTTAATCGAATAGATTCAAACTTTTATATTTTTTGGCCAAGTAGGAGAACAGGACAGTCTTTTCCACGCCACTCGGCGTTAATCAACTCGGCATTAATAGTTTGTCACATTTGCTCTAGAATCGGCGCACTTCCCAAATATACTATGTAGAGATGGCATGAAATGCTACTTGTGAGTCACAAGTGATTCGATCACGTTCGTTCTTGATCATTGTGATTTTTTTCAATGATTTGTGATTTTTCGTGATCGCTTCTGATTAGCGCAGAGCATAACTGTTCTTTGTACGTGTCACAAAACCCATATATTTTATATCAGCGATATCAAAGAAATATTACGATTTTAAAATCGAAAGGACGAACTAATATTTTGCTCTTTAAGATACTGATATAACATAAAGAAAGGAAAATTGAATTATTTCCTACTTTTAATATTAAATGAAATATACTTAAGTCATGTATATATATGTCGGGTTCACATTAAAATTAAGGTTACGGGCTTGTAACGAATCTTCATTTAGATTAGACGTTATTATTATGCAATAGAGAAGATATTTACTAGTACAAATATGATTATTAGTACAAGTGTGGATATTACAGAATTGACAAGAACTGCGGTGATTAGACACTAATGACAATGGTCTTAGGTTCGATAACGAATTCGCGGTCAACAAATGTACTTTCTTCCAAAGTCTAAGTCGTACTCGATTTGCTTGGCTACGGTGGAAGTATAACTAAACTAACTCTTTGTTAGAACATAGAGTATTCACTGATCGTGAAGACGCTATGTAATTCGCTAATGAGACCTCACGAGAGAATAACTTTCCGTTACGATGATGCTGCAGAGGAAAACTATGATGGGGTGTGTCTAAGGACACGAGATCATCTGATTCGTCGAGGAAAGTCTTCGTTCGGGAAGTGAGGGAAATGGACGTTTCTGTTAATTGGTTAATTTCTATGTCGGTGGTTGAAGAAGGATGCTAACCGCCCTTGAGAAAAAGTTGCTAGCGGGAAGCGTCGTTCGTGAGAAAAGCAGATTTCCCGTATCTTCCCGTAGTAGGTGGTAGATTTAGGGACTGTTACGAAAAAAACTGTTTGTCCATTTGAAGGATCTTAGTTAACTAAATCCTAAGATTTATAGCGGGTAGCTGAACATGTACTGTGGAGATGCATCGACATTTGATAATCATCTTGCCCGAAGAATAGAAAGAAGACAGAAACCGTTGGAATGTTTACTGTCGCGTGCCGCTACAACTATTTCTTTTAAGGAGAGTTGTAGAATTACTCCATACCTCTGTTAGGTAAAAACGTTCATCCCGTGACCGCGGCTACGTTCGGCGACTTGTTGTCGCCTCGAGCCCAAGCTCATTATCACAAATCTCGGGCAATTATAATTGAGTTAAATTATAGAGACTAAAACATTGGGGATTTTCCGAAGAATTCCAAAGGGAAGGCCCCGATGTTCTTTCATCTCCAACATATATATGTCGGACAAGCAGTCTTTATAAACTATGGGAAGATAGGAGAAATCTATTTGTCTCACGAACGACGCTTCCCGCTAGCAACTTTCCCTCAAGGGCGGCTAGCGTCTTTCTCTAACCACCAACATGGAAATTGACCAATTAACAGCAATGTCAATTTCCCTCACTTCCCGAATGAAGGCATCTCTCCATGAATCCGATGATTTCGTGCCCTTAGACACACCCCATCATAGTATTCCTCGACAGCGTCACCGTGACGAGGAGACACTCTCTCTCGTGTACGAGTTCATTAACGAGTTAACTAACGCCTTACTATCTGTGATTACTCCACGTTTGATATAAATTCCAACTTAGACTTTGACGAAGAAGTAAACCTACTATCCCATTGACCGCGGGTTCGTTATAGAGTCTTAAACCAGTGCCACTAGTGCCTAATCATCGCGATTCTTTGTCAACTCTGTAATATCCTTATTTGTGTCAATAAAGATCACTTCAACTGTGTAAGAAGATGGATAGTTCCAGTGAAGGTTCATTACATACCCCAAATCCTTACTACGATAGCGGTCCGGACCCGCATTACGACGATGATACGACATATATATAGCTAAGTCATGTGCAGAGAACATCTTAAATTTACGTTATATGCAGATGTTTTAATGCAAGCTATGTTAGAGTATTTTATCAGAAATAATTCAATTAAGATCAAGAATTACGATGAGCAAATTCACTTGGGATAAAAGATCACGATCTTAGTCGTGAATGAAATTAGATTACGACCGTTATTGTGACTTTGCACGCCAGCTCCACTGTTACCTGCTTCGGTCAGATTTGAGGGACAGACGGAATTTCTTGTGCCACGCTCAGTGGATCAAATCGTATATTGGTACGACTGTTCGCGGAGAGACGCGGTCGCGAGGAATACGCGTCAGCGAGAGGCGTAAATTCTCGCTACGATTCTAATAATCGACGCCGCGAATTAGTCGGTCCCCTGATTCGATTAAGATAACAGAGGTGGTTAGAATGAGTTTAACACTGAACTAACAGAGTTAATATAAACTGGTATATTTAACAATATTTAATATTATAATGAGCACGTCACAAATTATTTAATAACAAATGCAATTAGTCTGATACAGGAATTCGACCCGACTTTGTGATATTTCTCGAGGTATTCGGTAGACTAAGCAATTTAATTTTTCTCGCCAAAACCTCTCGATGCATTCCGTTTGAATCCTCAAATGATACTGATTGCCCTTTGATCTTTTTTCTTTGTCTTTTCTTTGTCTCCCACTACGCTCGGGTCACGCCACCGTTTGTTCCTATGATCATCACGAATGCTACCTTCTCTGTGTGGATAAAGTAACGGACCGAAGACGAATCGACGTTTCTAAAACTCGCTGCTTGATGAGAACTATGCGCCTGTCGCTAGATTGTATATATTTCGCCGATCATATAAGACGATCTGAAGACGGGCACCGAAAGCCCCCGTGATTTCGTCCTTCAGCGGTGATTCATTGTACATCCTCATTAGCGTTGAGGTTGCCGTCTCCGACCCACCATAATGCTCCGTAAATGTTGTCCAAGTAAGACTCCGGACCGGAACTTGCGTAAACCACCGTGCTGCAGTACCCTCCAGAGCACGACTTATAGCAAGATATAACTCGTCGCCTGGTAGATGCCTTTTTTCCGTAATCACACTAACAGTCGCACACCACGCGGCTGGGTCGGTGCCGGCGGTTTCGGGGTTAAAACGTGGTAGCACTAGATTTACAGGTTCCGCACTCTGTCTTTTCTCCCTCGGCTGAGTTAACTGACTCACGATGGCTGCAAGCCGTTCCACCACTGTTATAAACTGCTCTGATCTCACTTCTGATGTCGGGTTAGCACTAGGAGTACGGTTATGGGCGGCAAATGAATCTTCACGGGGATTAGCCATTGATACGGTACAACACAGGTATTAGTTTATTGCAATAATGGGGTTATTACAAATCTTGACAGCAAATCACGGCGATTAGGCACTTGCGAAGCTAGCGACAATGGCCTCAGGTTCGTTAACGAATCCACGGTCAATGGGATGACGAATGCGATGTGATACACATATGACTCCACGTACAAGTAAACTTATCTGCAGGATCTCCAAGCCAAAGAAAGAAGAAGAGCGAAAAAAAAAAATTCAAAGTGGAACTGTCCTTATATATTCCTCTCCCCACCTCTCGGGTCAATCTTTGTTTTTAAGGGGAGCCATATAATCATTCTATCCCTCTGTCAGGTACACGTCCTTCCCGTGACCGTGGCTACGTCTAGTGACCCGCTATGTCACCTCGAGCCCGAACCCATCGTCATAAAGCCAGATTGGAACATCTATTTCTTGTTTTTATTGCTTAAGTGTAACTATAGTAAAAGTCTGGACTAGGGTATTGAGGTTTTTACCAACATTCCAGACGGAAAGTCCCGCTGTCCTCTCATTTCCGACATATATATATGACCAATATCAAGCAATTAATATTACATTGATGAAAACATTGTCTACCATAATATTATATACATGTGTTTGCTTTTAATATTTGACAGAAACCTAAAATTTAACGATTTTGTTTATCTCCTTCAATTCCTCCAAAATGTTTTGTCTTCCTTATTAATTACAAGAAATATCCGAAATTGTCCGAAGAATAGTTTGTGCTTATACAGTCACCTCAAACATTCTTGTTTTGAAAAAGTGTAACCAGCTGCGGTCTACTTTACCAGAAAACCTAAAAGTTTCACTAAACTACTTGACTAGATTTTAATGTTCACACACGGTAAGTTACAATATTACTTGTTACTTGTCTTAGCCACTGGAACGTTTTACTCAACTACCGGAGTAAATTTTGGTGTTCTACACACCGCAAGGTATTAAATTCCTTGCCTATTGTACTGGCCGTGTCCGAACCAACCTATAAGCGACATGGGCGTCTCGTACTGTGAGGTTCTTGGCGTCAGTCCGTCGGCTCTCCGGGGTCTTCGTCTGTTTACGCTCATACGATGATGGTCGACGAGAATGCCTCGAAAACCGCTCGCCTTTAAAATCCCTTTCTTTCTCCCTCACAAGCAGGAAAATTATTCGGGACTGATCCCCTCGCAATAAATTTAACGCTTTATATTGTTATGAAATCCTTGTTCTTAGTATATCGATTTGTCGCTTTTAAGACTCGTTCATTTTCGAATACCTTTATATCCTTAAAGATAAGTGCAACTATAGCGATTAATTTAAAATAGAACTCGTGGAAACTGCATCTTGTAATAATATCAATTCAATAATTATAACAAATTTCCATAAGAAATCTTGTTTATTTCTTTGTATTTTGAATTCATAAGATTTAATTACAATTAACAAATGGAAGGCTTAAAAATATTATACAGTATTGATCAATACTACTGAATGGGACGGAACTTTGTTTTACGTATGTACTTATTTTATGATGGTTGTCAATTGTACACATTGGATAAGTTATTTAAAATGATATAATTGGAAATTAAACAAAATAGCGAAAATAGCGTCAAAGTGGTAACAGGAAATTTAGCACGAAAATGTTAAATTTTTTTTAAAAAGCCAATTGAAAACAATACAGCAGATAAAACTTAATTCTAATATAAACGTAATAAAATTTCTACGTCTTAAAATTGTTTACACATGACCGCTTAGGAAATGATCTAATATTTTCATTTATTCCCTGTGTACCTAGGTATTGTGCATTTAGTTCTACGACTCTTCTCCATCTATTTCTTAACTACATAATACCTCTTACAACAAATTATTGATTCTTAGAGTCTGTGGAATCATTAATAGCGAGTTTGACTTCCTCTCAATCTGTAAATATTCGACTATTTAATCGTAGTTGGTCTTGAAGTAAAATATCTCCGGATCAGAGATGAATAAATCATCGTTAGCATAGTCTTACATTTATAGCTTTACCACTGTACACTTGATAAATATTTTTTCAGGGCTATATCACAACGGTATGGAGCTTCTCTTAATTAAACTCATTTCAACATACAATGACGTTTACGAACTTTAATCGTGAACATCTTCTCGCTCCGATTGTTGTCATAAAAT